ACTGCAGGTGATATAAAAGCTCCATACAACTGTACCCCATAGGCTATCTGAGAGTGGCTCAGATGTGTAGAAAAGCAGTTGGCATAAGGGAAAACCAGTCTTTGTGAAGCTGAAGCGTTAGTCTAGTGAGATGATCCTTAAGAAGGTTATTAGCTCTTTCTACCTTACTAGAATCTTGAAGTCTGTACAGTGTATGTAGATTGCACTGGACCCCAAATGACTTAAAATATTCTTCAGTTAATCAGACTAATAAATTAGTTGTTTCATAATTTGAGTAATAAATTCTAATTCCACTAATAAATATCTGACACAATGGAGGTGGAGTAACCAAACCTTGGAATAATATTGGCTAAAAGGGAGTGAATAATAACTGAGGCCATCTTTGAGCCTGTAGGTAAAGCTTGTGCATGAAAGGGTCCACCTATACAAGGAGGTATCTTAACTTTTGAAATCACAGTATGTGCGTGAAATCAATCTGCCAGTACTGAGTTGGGGAGAAGCCTGATGCTTGGCAAGTAGGAAAGGGAGGGTGTGCATCCCTGAGGTGTACTTGTCTGGCAGACAAAGCATTGGTCAGTGATAGTTTTAAGAAGTTTTCTAAGAGGAAAGGCAAATCAGAGGGTAAATGAATTGTGTCAGGGATGTGTAACCTGTGTGAAAATTATCATGAAAGGACAAGAGAATGGTCTGGCCCTGTGTAGTGGTGAAGAGGAACTTTACCTGACTTAGGAACAATCCATCCTTGGTGGGAAGATCTTGATATTATTGGTGTTCAAAGGGGAATAAACCAGAGTTATGCCAACAAGGGCAAGGTATCAACACTGAAGGGCATGGTAGGGGACACCAGCTACTTCTAACAATTTCATCTGTAAAAGCATTTCTGACATCCATGAGTCCTGAAACTCTCTGGTATCCCCTGCAGTGAGGTATTCCTGCCTATGTTGGCAATAGCACACCCTAAAGAAGGGCTTTAATGAGTGCCACATTAATGATTGAAGACCGTTGAGAGGTGGGAAATCCCCTTTCTAGTTAGATAGCAATGTGATTATGCGATATATGGAATGTATACTTTGAAACTGTATAGATATTAACTTGTCATGCCTTATCTAGTGTGAAGGCATGGGTCAGAATGGTTAGTTTAACCTGCTGAGAAGAGGTAAGTGGAAGAAGGGCTGCAGCTTCTAAAGACAGAATCCTGGGAGACAATTGCATATCCTCCTCTGGCAAGGGAGTTGGGATGGACTTATGTGAACTTCTTTCAATGAACCAGGTGTGATCAGAGTTGGGGAGGAAGAAGGTGAAGAAGTCTGGGAAAGAGAAAATGGCTAAATGAATTAGAGATATACAGTTGTGGCTTTGGCCCTTTAAGAGGAGTTGACTTAATTAAGCAAGAGGTTATATTAAAGTTGGGACCCAAGGAGATAGTAGCCATGGAAGTGTCTATGAAAACTACATGGGACTGAAGAAGACAAGGGGTGCAAAGTGTGACAGGCAGGATGAAGACCGGAGTCCTTGAGCATATGAGACAAGTAAAAGGGTAAGGGGAGCATATTTAGTAATTTTTAGTGCCTCTAAGAATATCAGGGATGCCACACCAGCAGCACAAAGCCTAGTCAGCTAAACTAAGCAGTGGGGTCAGGCTGTTTGGGCAGAAGCAGGATGTGCTCAGTCTTGGGCCCAGTGTCTGAACTCCTGCTACTTACCCACTGTGTTCCATTTTATAAAAATTGAAGTGTTGGGCAGTGTCTTAGGTTCTTTTCTCATTGCTGAGGCAAAATACCTGACACTCAAAGTTAATGGAGCAAAAGATTATTTAGCTCACAGTTTGTAGAGGTTTAAATCCATAATTGGCTTGTGCCAAAGAAGGTTAGCACATGGTAGAGGAGCAACAGTTCATGGTAGAAGATAGAAGAAGCAGCAGGAAACAGGGAGAAAAGCCTCTTTCTGACCTTTATATTGTATCCAGTCTACTGGGATTAGGATGGTGCTAGTATAATTGGTGGACTGAGACTACCTTAATGCCACCTTAATCACCCACCCTTAATCCTTGCACCTTTAATCTCAGTGTTAAACCACAAACAAAACAAACACACACTCTGAATTTAGCCATGACCTCTATGATTATTTGCTCTTATTTCCTAGAGCACTCAGTCACTCTTTACCTCTTTAGTAATGTCTATTTAACTTAAATGTGTATAATACTATGCCCACTATAGAATTCTAAAATACAGAGAATTATTCATAGGGTATTTAAGTTTATTCTTCATTAATTTTCAACTTGACTATTAAAATATTTCTTATTTGTAAAATTTTATTTTGTAATTAGGGAATAATGTAAAATGAATAAACTGGCCTTTCAATCTTTACTATAAACTGCTACAACACTGCAGGTTATGAGCTACATTACACTGATTTACCAAGAAGTATATGGAAACATGTAGACCACTAAATACTACATAATTTTTGTTACTCATATTAGGTCATGATATTGTTTATGAGCAATTAATTCAGGGTTAAATGGAAAATAAAATATTTTATTTTAATAAATAAATCACATTTATTTAATTTTGGTCAAAGTTAGTACTTAGGAAAAATTAAAAATTTTAGCAATGGACCTCATTAATAATCACAAATTGCACTGCTTTGATGACTGAAGTGTATGAAATGTAGTTTGAAATGTTATGAGCATTCATAGTCACTAGAGAATTTTTGCCAGCACTATTTGGAAATATGAAGCTGAAAACAAATGGAATTTACACATGATGGTCTACAAGCCTTATATTTGACATGAAATAGCATTGAATACATTTTCTTCTTCAATAGAAAAAATAATGCACAATTTGATCATTACATTTGGATACTCTATCTAAAGTTGTTTTCTTACCTTTACACTATTTCTTTTCTTTTTTTATATTTAGGACAGGATGTACAGGGTGTACAGAGTCTCACTGCGTAGATCAGACTCCTAGAGATCCTTCTGTTTACAGCCTCGCAAGAGCTGGTATTACAAGCGTGCAACACCATACCCAGTCTCAATTGCTGTCTCAGTGTGCCTCAGGGGCAGGGCCTGTACAGCAGGCTCAGGGATTGAAATCCTGGCTCCTGAACCTGCTTGCAGGTGCTATAATCTGCTAGGCTACTTGGCTGGCCCTTACACTTTGTTTTTGTGGTAAAATCTGATTCAATTCAAATCTCAATTATATTTTCTGATTTTTTAAAAAAGGTTGCTTTTGTTTCCTGCTACTAGGTTTGATTTGTGTTTTTCATCTACTAGGACATTTGAAAAAGTACTAGGGAGTAGAAATACACACATATCTACAGATAAAAGAAAACAAGAAAAACCATGATGGATTTTCTAATATTTTGTAATATGTTTTCCAAGATAGATTTTCTAATGTATTCCCCATTTCAACTAAAATCTGTGTTTGAGAAAATTCATCAAATAAGATAGAGCACTGCTCCAAGATAGAATTATATATTTTTCCAATTCTATATCATATGACAAAAATTGTACACTTAAATTCTCCAGACTACATTACAATTGATATTTCTTATAGAACTATTTAAGGTTTTCAAATGTTATAAATTATAACTTTATAAATGAACTAGCTGAAATTGACAAGTGTGCATGCTGTATGTGTAATCCACACAAGTTCTGCTCGGAACCCACAACTATTATGGACTGTTGGCCTATATCGGGAAACTTTGCTGAATTCAAACACCTATAATATTTGAACTGACAACAAGTATGAAAACGTTTTTTAAAGACTTCTCCAAATACATTTTCTCTAACAGCAATGGAACACCTATCTCTGACAAAGAAAAATTTTAAAAAGAGACATAAAGGACCATTTTGTATTGAAAAAGTATGTATATACAAAATACTTAGGGTAGATATACAGCTACCTTCTATTAGTTCAATGAGAAGAAAGATTTGTACTAATAGTGTTTAGACAAGAGATTATGTCTGCATCTTGTACTGTGAATAACTATTACGAAGACAATATGCAATGTATTAACTATTGTAACTCTCCTACTAACCTATTTTGAAACTGTCTCATTGCTATTTATTTCTTATTAAAATTAATAAAATAATTTTTAAAAGAAATAGTTTACTTCCTAAAAGAATTTCTAGTAAAACTAGCTCAGGCTTTTGATTGGAGTACTAACAAGTTTTTTCTGTCTATTTTTATATATGTATTTGTGAGTTTTTAAAAAGACAATAGAAGTTATGTAACATTGGTGGAGTTTTCCCCCTTGAATCTGTATTGTGCAATATAAGGGAACCATGGTTTACTTGTTTTGCAAATGCTTAACTTTGTACAACTTTTTTAAAGAGTTGCCTGATTTAATGATGGTGTTCTCCTTCTCTTAACTGAGTCAATCATCATCATCTTCTTTTTTTTAAAAAAAAATTTTTTTTACAAATTCTCAATATGCAGTTCAGACTCATAGTGATCCTCCTGCTTTCAGCCTCCCTAGTGCTGGGATTACAGCCATGCACCACTACACCCAGACTCTGGCCAGCCCAGCCTGCCCAGAGGGAAGGGCTGGCATGGCATGTGGTGCCAGGGATTTAACCATGGTCCCTGAGCTTGCCTAAGCTTGCCTAAGCAGATTCTTTAGTCTGCTGAGCTATCTCGCCAGCCACAATTGTGCTCTTCTTAAAGATTGGTAATTCTGAAAGGATAGTTGTGACAATTTTAAACATTCTTCTATTCAATTAAAATTATCACCATGAGAGTTTTTGTTATTGAGTTGCTAATCAGTCACATAAATATTGATGCTCCATTATCTTATTTATTAGTTAGTGTAGTAAAAATATATTACATAAATTTTTAAGCCTTTTAATATATGTTAGTGCTATTAAACAGTTTGGACCTCATGCTTTTTCTTAAACATTATAACAAAAACGATAATGTAATCACTACAACAGAAGTGGTAAGGAAGCAGAAATTTTTGGCATATCATAATATATTCAATTTTCCTAAATATTTTCTCTAGGGAAAGTGGAAATACAACCCTTGACTATCACAAATTGTACAATTGGTCTCCCAGTATTTGGGGAAATTTCAGAGATCATCTCATTCGGAGTACAATAGGTAAGCCATGCTGTGGGAAAGTCATATTTGTGATCATGTTATCTCCTCTGCCAGGTAAATATCACCGTATAAATATAGAGATGTTAGAATAAAGTTTTGGTGAAAATAATATGAATTCTTTCTTAAAACAGGAGTTAGTAAAGTAGGCAAATCAAGTACTTACCTGGGTAAAGTATCTGAAGTGAATAGAAAACAATGCAAAGGATTACATAGTCTTTAAATTTTCTGGTATTTTTTTTTCTCCAGAATATTTAGTGTTTCTGATTTAGCGTTTAAATCTTTCATCCATTTTGATTGTTGTTTAGTGCACAGTGATACACTTGGGTCTTATTTAAGCCTCTGGTGGTTTTTCCAGCACCATTTATTAAAGAGGCTATCTTTGTTCCAGTGAATATGTTTGGCCCCTTTGTCAAAGATGAGGTGGCTGAGTGTGTGTATTTCCTTTCATAACTTTAATTTTTCTCACAATATTCTATTTTTTCTCCTTCACAGATTTGGATATCATTTCTTCTAAACAGTGGAGTGTTATAATTAAAAAGTTAACAATTCTATTTCAATTTTCACAGTCTTATATTTTATATCACAACAATATTCAGAAATACTGAGAAATGCAAAACCTTCATTGTGATTGTATTTTATCTCATTTTATATAATTACTGTTTAAAATTTAATTGAAATTTACTTTAAAATCAGTTTCAAATTTAGTCATAAATGTGATATTTTAACAGTTAATCCTTCTTGGATTTGTCTACTTGAGTATCCATTTCTTTGTCCATTATTGTTTCACAAATCATACTGTTCATGAGTTTGTCTTCCATAGGCATGTATTCCTTAAAAGTTTTATCAGAGATGGTTGAAGAAGTCAAAGAATTACTCTCTTAAACAGATTATGGATAGATAATGCTTCAAGATGTTTGGGCTCTTGTAAAGTCTTGGGAAAAAGGGATATAGAGTTGCCACTCTAAAATGATCAAGATTTAGGAGCTCTTGTAAATACTGTGAGCTGACAGATAAACATACTTGGGCGCAGTGGCTAGGCACTCAAATGTTGCAAAACAACCTCAACTCAAGAAAGCTCCTATCTCCTCTAAAAAAAAACCCTATAAAAATCCCTCAGACTCTGAAAGGGGTTCCACTCTGTTGTGTGCTCACTAGCGGTCCTGCTCAGGTTGTAATCTCAATAAGATTTGTTCTTGGTTATAGAGTTTGATTCTTTTCCTTTTTTCCCAACATGTATATGAAGTAGAAATCTCTGTCTCTTCTGAAAATGTATTTTATTTAATTTATTAATATGTTTGGATGAACACTGTTTTTAAAATTGGAGAATGATTTCTATACTAGTCCTTTGAAGACAGCATTTTTCAGTTATTTCCTGACATTTACTGTAACTGCTCTTTATTTAGCATTTTATCTTTTTTTCACGTTGCTTTAGTCTTATCTTTGTCATAGGTTTTTTTATAATTGTCAGGCAATTTTCGTAGCCTTGTTTCTCCAGAAAGCAAAACCTCAGATCAAAGGCTTACAAGTCTTTGTTTTATTAGGGAAAGTAATCCAGTTGAATCAGATTACATAGCAGAAACACGGAAGCAGGAAAGGAGGGTGACACAAGTCAAAATGGATACTACTCTGGGCCTTGACAATTTAACTCTTCTAAACTTTCTATCTCAAATCCATGAAAAATTTGTCAAAAAAGAGAAGAATGAATCCCTTGGTACAAAGCGAGGGGACACTGAGAGGACAGTTTTGGAAGCTACAACATTGCATCAGTGAGGAGGAAACTTGAGATAGGATAGATTTGCATGTGCTATAAAGGTAGACGCTGTTAGTGTATCTGAATTTTCATTAGATAGTAAATATTGTTTAATTTCATCCATGATCCATTGATTGTTCCAGAGGCTATTATTTAGTTTCCATATCTACATAGAGTTTTTGCTATTTCTTTTGTTGATGTTTTCCAGTTTCATTGTACTATAGGCAGATAACATTCATGGGATAATCTCATTTTTTTGCATTTATTTAAGCATGTTCTATGTGCCAGGACATGATCTATTTTGGAGAACATCCCATGTACAGCTGAGTAAAAGGTGTATGCTGGCTCTGTTGGGTGAACACTCTGTAAAAGTTTACTAAGTTAATTTCTTCACAAGTTCTGTTTATTTCTATTAATTCTTTGCTCATTTTTTGAAGGACTGATCTATCTTTTTCTGTCAACGTTTTTTTTTTCAGTACTGGGGATTGAACACAAGACCCTGCACTTGCCAAACAAGAGATTGTTCTACTGAGCTATCATCCCACCCCTAAATTATATAATCCCATGTATTACATTCATTACCATTTTTTTTGGTGGTGCTGGTACCAGGGATGAAACTCAGGACATCGCACTTACCAGGCAGGCATTTATTCCACTGAGCTATCTCCCCAGCCCTCAGTGGGTTGTTAATGTTCCTTAAATGCAATTATCTTATTGCTCATTAGATTTACATGTCTGTTAATATTTGCCTCCCATAGTTGAGTGCTTCTACATTGGGTGCATACAGATTTAGAATATTCATCTCTTCCTTTTGAAGTTTTACCCTAACAAGTATGTAGTGATCTTCTTTGGCTCTTTTATTCACATTTGGTTTGAAGTTCACATTGTCAGTAACAAGAATAGCTACCTTTGCTTTTTTCTGGGTTCCTGTACTTTGGAGTATTGTTTTCTGTCCTTTGACATTCATTCTATTAAATTACTTTGAGTTAAATGTGTTTCTTCTATGAAGCATATTGTAGGATTTGTTTTCTTTATCCACTCTGCCTGTCTACTTCTTTTGATTTCTGATTGGAGGCCATTGATGTTGATAGCTACAACTGATGTGTATTGGCTGGTCTTTGCCATGTTGTTTTCCTACTGTAGGATCCCTACTTTTCTCCTTTGCTTAACTGCTTGCTGTACTTGTTTGTTCTCTTCTGTTGTTGTTAAACTTGTGGTCAACTTTCTCTCTTTCTCAAATATCTGTCAGTACTCTTTGTAGTGTTGGTTTGGTTGTGATGAATTACTTCAGTTCTTTGTGATGGTGGTATCTAATCTTGCCATTTAATTTGACAGTTTTACAGGATATATAAACCTGGGATGAAAGTTGTTTGTATGTTTTCAAAACCTCAAATACCTCACTCCAAGCTTTTCTTGATTTAATGATCTGTGTTGAGAAATCTGCCATGATTCTGATGAGCTGTCCATTATACATGATCTGTCTCTTATATCTAACAGCTTTTAATATTCTGTTCTTTTGTTCATTTTCTGAAATCTAGAAAATTATGTGTGTGTCTCGGTGTGTATTTGTTCTGATTATGGCTAGCTTGAGTTCTACATACTTTTATAATTTTATATCAGATTCTATTCTCATAATTGGGAAATTTTGTGCTACTACTTCTGGAAAAACTCTTTTTGAGAACCAGTCCTAGCCCAGGTACGGTAGGTGTGTGGAGAGATTCCTGCTACCCTGCGCCAGCGGGACCAGTCCCAGCCGAGGCGCAGCATGGGCCGGACCCACTCCCACCCTCTCGGGCTGCCCCGCACCACTCGACCGTACTTCCCCAACCCCTCCCACCAAGTAGGAATTTCTGCCGAATTCTGGGAACACCCAGACCCAGTCCTAGCCCAGGTCCTCCGAGTGTGTGGAGAGCCTCCTTCTACCCTGCACCAGCTGGACCAGTCCCAGGCCAGGTAGAGCGTGGGCCGGACCCTCTACCATCCCCTCGGGCCGCCCCCCACCACTCCGCCATACCTCCCCCACACCTCACGCCCAGTAGGAATTTCTGCCGAGTTCTGGGAACCCCCAGACCTACTCCTACCCAGGACCGGAGCAGGAAGGAGCTGAGCACAGAAGCCAGACCTAAGCCAGACACAGCTGGATAAGTCTAAACTCTGTAGAGCTCCACCTGAACTTCAGTACATGTGAAGGTTATAACTACAGCAAAGATCTACAACAAAGGGCAGAAGACAATGCTACACAAAATGACCAGGAGGAACAAAATGCAACCTCAGAACCCAAGCCCACCCGTAACAAGTGCAGAGGACACTAACACAGAACAAATTGGAAATCACACAGCTGAAAGCAATGA